CGACGTCGTTGCATTCTCTGTAAGAGAATCCACCTGGCGCATCGCTGATGACTGGAACCATTAAAAAGACGGATGATGCTGGAAAGTGTGAACGGATGAACGAAAGAATGAGGGGTGAAGGAGCAAATGAATGCGAAAGAATGAATGATGGGATGGAGAGAATGTTAAACGCTAGCAATTTTAGTCCATGCATCACTGGTTGAGAACGCTAAACGGATTACGGTACCATCATTCAGTTTAGTGCATCGATAAATGTAGTAAATTTGGCTGTTGTCAGCCGACTTACTATATGCCAAATCTGGTGGCGACCATGACTGGCTTGTCTGCCGTATATGTTCCGGTGATGTGTATCGTTTTCTCTGGAAAAGTAATTCCAACATCGACTATATTCGTCTTCTTGTCTGGTTTTTTACCGTACACCTAGAAACATCCGTTGTATTGGCTATCACAAAGCATGCTCTTCTGGTCAATGCAGAACATATGCAAAGTCAATGATTTCTCTCAACATGACCCGTCGGTATCACTTGACTTCTAGCGGCATGGAAGCAAATTGGCGATGTCAGATAAAACGCTAGAATGATGAACCTCGTGGAATTTACTTATCACGACCAAACGCCCACATAGATATCTGCATTCAATATTGCAGCAAGTTACGCTATAAAATTTGTTGTGATATCTGGCTGCAGAAGAGTTATTCGGTTATGAAGATATTATGCACAGGAACATATTTTATAACATTCCTGAAAATCATAAATAATAAACGGTTCCTGTCATTTTCATAACAATGATCAGGATATTGCTCTTGCTATTATGATTGAATGAGATTTTCTAACACTGAGGAAAAGAGAATAGCGTAGATACTGCTGGTCATTTTTAATGGCATTTGTTAAAACTTATGACCACTTATGCAAAGGAAACGTATTTAAGACTAGGTAAGAGATCCGCAACATAGCAGAAGAAACTATTTTCACCTTCGACAGGAAAAGAATCTAATGCAAATGCTGCGAAGGGCAGAAGTACGTCCAACGGTGGTCAGGGAACCTACTTACCTTGTAATAGGTTCGTGAGACATGGATCGAATGTCCGTATTAATCGATCATTCGATTGAATATATTGTTTGTGTCATAAATAAGTGAACCGAGTTTGACGTAGTTTTAAATTTCAGGATTGGCCCTTACGCCATGCCCCAAATATGTGTAGAACGATGTGGACTGGATCAATCTGCCATGGTTCTTCTCATGTGAGTGAGTGTGGATGTGCGACGCACGTACTTCATGTAAACAATGGCCAGCGGGAGCACTGATCTGATTTAATGCTTCACACAGTCGTCACGGCAGAATTATAAAACGCAAAATACACTAGCTTGAGAAAAATTTTAAATTTTGCTCTCAGGAGCTTTTCGTTTATATTTAACGTTAAGAAAACATTAAATAGTTGACACATATGGATTTCTGCCAAGTGAATGTACATTCAGATTTGAGACCACAAACTGGCTCCACGTAACAGACCGTGTCTGACCATAGAAGTGACGCATGGTCATGCATTGTCATGTTGCAAAAACTACTATGAATAAAGAAGCTAATACTGCGTAGTTTTCGTCCCATGCGGGCAAACCATCGAAATTCCATTG